AGACGCATCGTTTTGGCTGAAACTTTGTGAGAGTTTTCCAGCACCAACGCTGAATGCATATCTTATGCTTCGCAGGGCCCCACTTGAGCATATTCACATATGCTTTTTGAGACGGGGCCCCGCTTTCCGGGTTTGCCTCACCTAAGAAAAAAAAAACTGTGGCATTTACAAATTTAATTCTTAAAATGAGTAGGGACTTCCTACTAGGGAGACAAAATTTTATCCATATATTAATACATCCTGATAAATTATGGGTTTTGTAAACCAGATTTATTTTTATAGAGAAAAAGAATAAAATAAAATATAACTTGAAAAAGTAAAAAATCTAAGGTGAGGCAAATGCACTTAAAAGTATAAAACAAGCCCCCCTCACCCCTTAACATTACGTCGCCTGGGCTGATGATAACTTTTAATTAAACTGTTCTGATCCATCGTGAAAAAAGTCTTTATTTACAAAATTAATATTTATTTGAAATAGATATGATATGTACGTAGTGTGGAAATTGAATTATTCCACAGTAAGCAAATTCTGTTAAATTTAAAAAACAGACAGTTTCGGAAACACCATCCAGAAATCTCTGTTTTAAAATGAAATATTGTCAATTTAATGTAACTATTTAAAATTTGAATAAATTAGAAATTATTCAGCATAATTAACAAGGCGCAGCTAATAGCCATTGGTTATTATGATCATAACGAGTTCTTTGTGATCATCAGCCCAGGCTAGGTAATGTTAAGGGGTGCGGGGGGCTTGTTTTATACTTTTAAGTGCATTTGCCTCACCTTAGATTTTTTACTTTTTCAAGTTATATTTTATAATAATAATGTTCTTATTGGCAAACATTTTTCAGTGCATTTAATTTTGTTCACTAAAACGGTTGTAAATAAATGTTTATCATAAGTATGCAAAATGTAAAATCGGAATATTTATAAATTCCCACTATAAATTTTCCCAAATTCTCTTGGGAAATTATGAATTTACATTTACATAAATAAGTATGCACGCAAATTACTTAAGTAAACTCTATAATTTTAAATAATAGGAAAAATACAATTTTACGTAGGCATGCATTCCATCCTTACTAAATATTGTTTGCTCATAAATTTAGATCACGATTCATTACAGAAATAAATAAAATATTGCGTGAAGAACAGAATTATCCATTTATGTAAGCATCGTGAAATGTAGGTTACATAAATATATTTATTTAAATATATTTATGCGAAATTGTAGGTTTTACCCACCATTTCTCGGAACATCATATTTGGTAAAACTATTTCTCGGAGGTATTAAGTGTGGTAATAGGATTCTACAGTTGATTCCACTGAAATGTAATCTACCTATTTAATATGGTTTATGTATTTATACATATTCATGAAGTAATAGGTTGCCTTTATAGGTTTCTTACAAATAACGTTTTTTATTTGGTGCTACCGAATTTTCGAGATAGAAGTCCAAAATATCGCTTCGGCAATTGATTCAGAGATCTATCGTCGTGCTTAAATATCACAAGTACGAATGCGTTCTAATTTGCCGTCCTGAAATAAGACTCTAAACAGGTATGAAATTTTCGAAATTTAATTTCAAATTCAGTTTTAAAATGTATTTACCTGTTTCTCGTTTTTGTCAATCCTATACTCTCAATTTTAGATTATTCGTTCGCCCTTGTTCCTCCTGTCAGAGATCATCCACTACTAGCCAACAGGGTACTATTTGTTTTGTTTTTGCCTCGCCAGTTTCGATATTTTGGATAATTAGAGATGGTTCATGTCGTAAATTGAGAAATTTTGGTATCAACATGTATAGAAGCTGATCATGTCGCTCAGCCAATAATCATATTTAAATCCATATGTAATTATTGTTTTGCAGACTTGTCAGAGAAAAGTGTATGAACTAGTTACTAACTAGTGGAAAAATTCGTATCGGAAAGCTAATTTGACTTTGATTTAGTGACCACAAAAATGTAGTACATTCGATAAAGTTGACTCAGATTGGCCCAAGGACATAAATACATTTAAATACATTAATCTCAACCTGCATTGGCAAAGTTTCGAAATATTTCTAATTACTTTCAACGCGTCTTAACTATTCTGTCAAATTTAATTATGCCGCCGCAGAATTGGATAATCCTCATTTTCCTAACCCTTTCCAGATTGTCCTTTGCCATTTCTACCATTTGGACTGGTCTCTTTTTCGATACAGATCTCACCTTCCTCTATACCCCCACTTGTCGCAAAGTAATGGACTTGGAAACCGATTTTCAATACTTTCACGACGTACTGGACAATAACCCCTACTCACCTCGGCGTAACGCTATCCTTTGTCAATCAACGTCAAGAAGATTTTGTTTCTATCCCGCCCCCGTAAGAGTTTCCTTTAAAGCATACTCCAATCGTGACAGGGAGAAATCGGCGCGTTCCCAGGCCATCTTTGTTCAATTTGTACGACACCAGATAAATCCAGCGGCTATCGGGAATTTGAATGAGTGTCGAAACTTGATTTATATCTTGACCTCCACAATTCGCCCTCACTATATCTTTGGCCAAATTGATCGCCACCGGTACCTGTCCGACTTTACAATCATCACTAGCACCATAGTGACAACGAAATTGATACTCTTCGAGGAGAGCGCCCCGACATCCCTCCTGATCCCTTGCTTGACATGCAATCAGTTCAGCGGCGCACCATTAGATGGAATCTCACTCCCTGAAATTCGGCAAGCTTGGGACGCCCAGAATCGCGATATGCACAACTATATGGGTATCCTGAATTTACAGAGTCTAAACGCAACTTGTGGCCTAGCCCATAAGGGATTTGCCAATTTACAATTTCCAGACTTCTGTCCAATTGCAGTGATTGCGAACAAGTATAATTTGACCCTGATAGGAAATGTGGATTACTCATGGTATATCAAATTAGGTAGACATGGTTATGGCAATGTATTTTATCTCAGTGATAACGACACCGGTCCAGCCTACACAGTTTATGAGGTTATTCTGGACGAAATTAACTTTGTAACGGTTACCGACTATCCCGCTGTGGCAAGCGGGGTGGAAAGTTTCGTTTCCCCTTTCGACCGTTCGACATGGACCTTCACCTTGATGAGCGTGCTTTTAGTTGGTGGATTTTTTACCTGGCTAGGGCTCCGAGAGGGATTCCGAGACAGTTCGATACCCTTAATTGCTACCATAGCGGTAGACCGGCTGATTGTGGTCACCTCCATTTTTCTCGGCCAAGTCGGCGACAGTAGTGGAAAGTCGTATCGTAGCGGGACAGCTGCCTTAATGTTGGTCGTCATATGGCTTTTTGGGAACCTCGTCCTCATGGCTAACGTCTACCAGGGCTCAATATATTCATGTTTAGCGGTTTTCTACCCCACACAAACTCCTACCGGGGTGACCGACCTGCTCAACTGGGACGTTCCGATATTGGAAATGTTTGCTTATTACAATCTAAAGACGGGGGTGACGAAATCGATCCTGCTGGACTTCATTATTCCAGAATTAATAGCTACTGGAGAGGCGAGTCCAAAATTTGTACAATTTTTGAACAAATTTAAGGCAAAGGTGCTCCTTGGGAGTGACCCATCCGTGCAGACTATGGCGAGCAACATGATCACAGGAAATGGTACCCAAAAGCAAATGCTCGTTGTAATGTTTAGTAACAACGACAAGGAATTTTTCGTTAATCGAATTAGAATTGTGTGGGACCGCTATATCGTCAGGAACAAGGGTGGATCCCCGTTCAGTATGACTCGTTTCTTACTAGGAAATACAAATTTGTTGTCCCCATACGTTGCCAAGGAATTCGGACGCATGCGCGATACTGGTTTGAATGGGATGTGGAACAGGGTGTTAACGATTAGTAAGTCTCTACGCAACACGGGCGATTACACACGTGACCAATATTTTCAATTGGTTCAAAGCTGTTTTGGAAATCAGAGAGAGCCAGTGACCTTCCATGAATCCATGCCCGTCTCATTGGAATTGATCAAGCCTATTTTTGCCATTTGTGCAGTGCTCGTGGGGATGGAAATAGTGGTATTCGTGGTAGAAAATAGGAGAAATGTTGTTGACAGGATGAGTTGGAGTTATTGGTACATAAAGTACCATTCTGGTTGTTAGAAGGATTTGAAGTAGTATGTACGGAGAGTTTTTCCCGAACTCCGGGAGGTTGTTCTGCAATTTAAATTATACTAGGTTAATTTTTTCAAATTAGGCACTGGAAAACCTTCAAACTATCTGCTGCTTTTCGCAAGCCAATGGCACTGTAAATGTGTTTACGCTTAAACAGATTTAACGTTTATTAGCCAATTTACTTATTTGATGCGCTGCTTGCTTTTATAGAACATAAATAAGAGCCATACACTGTATGTTTGGTGAACTAATAAATTTGCCGATATAGCCGAATGCATTACAAAGTATGTATCTACCTATTAATTAATTTAGTAAGGATAATAAGTACTTCTGTCCTTCGCATCGGCCTTTAAACAAGACGTCTAAACAACATCTAAACAAGACGTATTATTTGCATACAATTTTTATTGCCTAACTTTAAACGAACGCCATTTTCCAATCTGGTAAAAACCATGAAGATATACGTGATACTCTAAATTGGGATGTGTATTACCTTCGCCTCAACTAAAGTCCATCGACGTATGCCCAGTATTTTATGACGATGATTAGTGTAAGTCACTCAGAAAATAACCATAAATGACCATAATTTCATTTAAAAAAGCTTAAATTTCCTAGATTTCGAAAACAACTGCAATTTGAAATGTACCACTTTGTGAGTGTCATGCTTTAGCCTGAAACATGACGGAAAACACCAGAAACTTCCAGGTGCTTTCCGTATGGTTGGTGGTCGCCTAAGGTTCACAGGTGCGGAGATAAGGTGTGTTTCTGAAAAGCAGGTAGGATGCAAGTTATGGTGCTGTTCTGTCGAGTAAGGCGTTGTCGTAGAGAAAATTATCCCTTCCGGTATTTAAGTATTTATTATGAAGTATTAATTGTGAAGTTAAAGTTCATGATTTGGTCATGAACTGGTTACAACTTTAATGGAATCATGATTAATAGTATTTACATGATTTAAATTAATTTTTTTTAATCATTATCAGCCATGCATTAACAAAAAGTTCTCTAATTTTTTACAATAATTAAATCCAAGCTTTGGACTACATTTCAAGAGTGTGTATCCAGATATGTCCACGCAACCTGGAAAAATCACGGAACTTTTTCCCACAGAAATAACAAGAGTACTTTTTCTCACAAGGATCGTGTCTTTGCAAATGCCTTTGGAAATTGCATCTCGAATGGGACTTGTACTCGCAAAGGTTACAGGAGTGAAGGGGGGTTTCACGCGATGGGTGTTTCGAATCCACGTGTCGTCCGAGATGATTTCTCGTTGGGAATTTCATGTCACAATTTTTGCAAGAATAATTTTTCACATTGTCGTGTACATTCCGGATGTGGTCATTTAGGTTTCGTTTGCTTATCAATATCCGATCACAGAGGTGACACCGGTGCACTTCTCGTTGAGATCTCTCCATATGTACTCGCTGAAAAAATAACAAGGTGTTTTAAAATATAAATGTAATTGTATGTATCTAGCGGCATAAAATTCTCTAAGAAAATAATGGCGTGTGGACATAATTGATGAGAATTATTTGTAAATCATCTAATAAGATTATATGATTTTCTTATTCAGTATATATTTAAGTTGCGTTCAAAATACGCTCAGTAATTTTTAAAAAGTCAAAAAACGTGATAAAACGAATCTGGTTATCAAAAAATTAAAAATACTCGTTTTTATAATTGCTACATTGCAACCAATTTCTTTTACGTATAAATGGATATATAAAATTATATCATAAAATCATTAGTATTTATGAAATTTTTTTGTGGTTATCTTAAAACGACCACTACAGCAATTAAATAGGTCAAAACTTTAAGAAAAAGTGTGTATACATGTATTACCAGAATCTCTGTATTTTTTACCGTGGAATTTTTTGGTATTTTAAGTTTCCATTTATAATAATTCTTTAATTTTACCTGATGGCTTTTAAAATTGCTAGTTTGCGCGAACCTTCTCCCACAGGTTAAACACTTGTAAGGCTTCTCCGTCGTGTGGAACGCTATGTGGCTGTTAAGATGTGCTTTCATTTTGAATTCTTTCCCGCAAAGAGTACACGGAAATTTGGTGGGATTCTCGTTATGTTCCCTTCTCACATGATCCGTAATTGCGATTTTATCAAAATAGGTTTTATCACAAGGTGGAGACGGGCACGGAATGCGGGGCCTTGTCGTCGAGCTGTGAAACTTCTTATGGTGCGCTTGTAAAGTATTCTTGGTTGAAAGTGTCTTGTGACAAATATTACAAGAGATTGGGGCTTTGTTGCTATGGCAATTTGCCATGTGAATTTTTAATCTTTTTTGATTCTTGTATGGTTTCGCGCATTTCTAAGAATAATTAAACGGTAATCAACATTTTGATAATTTTAAAAGTTCTGCATTAAATTATCTGAGATAACTCACCTCGCAATTTACTGCAGCCCCGGTATCATGCGTGATAAGGTGCTGAGCAAGACCCGCCTTCCTTTTAAAAACTTTGGAGCAGTGCTCACATTTGAAGTCAATTTTTCTCTCGACGGTCTCCATTCTATTGTAAAATCAATGAAAATTAAAACAAATATACTTTCAATTAAACTAAGCAGTCGAACTTGGGTTTATTTTCCAGATGTTCTCCAGACTTACAATTTGAGCGGAATATCACTCGCACAAGGATATGCTGGACGTGGGCAATATGTGGAGTTGAGTGCAACATGCTAAGGTACCACTTCAAAGGGCCCCTCTCAAAAGGGTTGAGTAAAAACGCATTCCTCGTATCCCAACTGTGGTCTAAATATGGTATGTATGAATGCACTCATATGTATGTAGAGTAAAACGTTGCATTCCCTCTACAAAAAAGGTGGTTTCATGACATGGGTAAGACGACGAGACCCTGTTTCTGTTTGCATGGGAAAGAAAAAAAATCATATTATTCCACCCACAATAAATAAATGAAGGATTTATTCATAGCATTTCTAGAACACAGTGCGGGAAGGAATTCATGCCTTTTCCTAGGATTGGTTCGTACTGGGTCAACGTGCTTGATGCGTGGTTATTTCAAGAATATGGGGCCTTTTCCAATATTAACTTAACTCTACATACTTCCAGATATTCGTCAGTTACCTATTTCGCTCATACTTCTTAGTTGACAAAATACTACGTTGTTTATACAAATTTCAAAAGTTTAGAAAAGATACCGTACCCCAAATATATTTTGTACATATAATAATTAGTTTTTTTCAAAAATGTTGACAAACTCAAATGTTATGTTCAAGTGCCATCGATGCTCCAAAGTTTTTAAAACGGAGGCATCTCTTCTCAAGCACCTTATCACGCATGATCATAAGGCTGCAGTAAAATGTGCGGTAAGTCAATATACATCATTTTTGAATTACTCCATATTTTTACAAATCGGATATTCCGTGGCATAATTAGAATTGTGCATTAACATAGAGATTTCTTGTCTGTAATAATTATCAGATTTGCCAAAAACAGTACAAGGATCGCTATGGTTTGGAATATCACATGGCAAATTTTCACAACAATGGACCTCGAGTTTCTTGCAATATTTGTCATAAATCGTTTACAACAAAAACTAATTTGCAAGCGCACCGCAAAACGGTCCACAGCTCGACGACAAGACCTCGCTTTCCGTGCACTTTTCCGGGATGTGATAAAACTTATCTTGAAAAAAAGGCAGTCGCAGCGCATTTTAGAAGTGAGCATAACGAGAATGGTTGCAATAATAAGCAACCACCAACCACGATCCATGCAACCTCTTCTAGACAATATTCCTTGCAACGGAATATCCGTTGTAAAATTGCAAAATCAGCTCCAAATTAATTGAACGGTATTTATGTAAACTTAATAAGTTTACATTTTATTGATGATAAGTTTAACTTATCATCAATAAAATGTATTTCACAGCACGCAAATAAATAAAACTGAGAATCCTTAATGAACAGACATTTAAAATTGGTAAATTTATCATGTGTGGAGGACGTGAGGAAATATGCCAACCGAAAGAAAAATTAATATAATTTTTCAAACTTATTTGAACGTCTTTTATTTATACCCCTTAATCCAACGCCACAATTTTACATAAATGCTAAATTAACATTGTTAATTAAAATTGCTCAACTTCCAATTTAATTTTTACATCATTATCACATTTAGTATTTGAAACATTAGAAACTAAATTTTCAACCGGCAGGATTCCATCCTTTGTGTCTTGATCAGGCTCCAGTTTGATCGTTCGTCCTTCATCGAATTCGTCCACAATTAGCTCAGTCTTAACTCGGACGAGATTTTCTGCATAAAATTTATCCTGTGACCCATGCCTGCCCCTCAGATGGTCAATAAGGTCGAACTGACACTCAAATTTTTCCCCACAGAGGACACACTTCCCATCCCATGTGGCGTGGATTTTTTTGATATGTGTGTCCCATTCGAACGTCGAGTCGAACGATCTACGACACGTGTCCACTGGACAAGTCAGCAATTCCAGCCTAAAATAGGTGTGTATAAAAATTATAATTTGCAATATAGGATTTTTTTTAATTTGAACATTCATTTTGCGGAAAGAGGGCAAAAATCATCAAGAATTCGACTCTTACCTTGGGGGACGGTTACTACTCAACGCTCTTGTGTCACCGTGTGATTCAGGCGGTTTATTCCAAGTTTCAAGTTTAGGCGGATTACTCCGAGGACCATATTTACGACCAAGTCTAGATTTTGCGCATCTAAATATTTTTTTAAACCTTATCATAAATTATAAATTCGCCAATTAATCACCTTACCTGTCAAACCGTTCGTGTTCTTGTAGTTCATCATTTCTTGCAAAAGTAATGCGACACTTGACACAGGTTTTCGTCTCTTGAGGTAAACAATCAGGTTTTGTCTCGTCTGGAACTTTACTGCAGCTAATGACATCAAAAAATAATAATCACCTCCCCCTTAAGTCGATTATTCATTATCTATTTCTCACATTTTCATAGAGATGTGTTTCCGGAAGTAGCACGGCCTGCTAAACGTGGCGTCGCAGGTGGGACATTGAATCCTGTTGTTGAGCCAGTCGTAATGCATTTTCCTATGGTCCTTATAAATTCCTAAAGTTCGGCACTTGAGGAAACAAATTTCGCAGCGACGTCCCCTTGAAATGGGAATTCCCGGTGTGTGAGATTTGACAGGGTGGAGGTCGTCGCCTAAGCAAATTATAAATTATCTATAGGTCAAGGTGTTGCGAAAGGCTCATATTAAAAGATTGATAAGAATTTACCGGAATTCTCCATGATGTGACGGGAATCAGTCAATTACTTCCCACCACTCGAGATTTGGCAAAAATTTGGCAACGAAATTCTATAAAATCAAATTGTAATCAAAATTAAGGACCAATGTACATATTACTAAATAAATTCAATTTCCAATTAGAGTTAAAAATAAGTTTCACCCACCACTTTGAAAGAAATATTCATTAATTTTGCAACCTGGTTCAGGACACGTGCCAATTTAGTAAATAATGGAACTAATAAAGTTTAGGTGTGTAATTATTTTGCAGCACATTCAACCACGGTTAATTCTAAATAATGGAGATTAATTCCAGTACAAAATTAAGAATAATTGTCACCAAAGAAATTAAATCAAATAATTTGATTTGATTTATTGTTGTCACTTCAGTCCAGCTGGAGTGAGTTTTTTCCAAGTGTTGCCCATGGAATACGAGTAGAGGGCAGACTCTCCGCTTTCAGAAAATATTTCTCCACGCTCTGCATGCAAATTTCATGGAAATAATAAGAAATCATGTAATAAAATTTGACTGAACTTTGAATACTTTTTTCCCAGGTAGTTAATAAATTCAATATACATACATTAAATACATACCCCGAGGTAATTAGCGAGACCCTCTTGCAATTTGGCCTAAAAAAATGTGTAGACCTATTTTGTATCTCTTAAAAAATTTCTGAAAGTACAAACTCTTTATGTACGATAACAATATTTAAAGATTAACGACAATTGGGGTAGATTATTTTATTAATCGACATCAGTTCTTGACAGAAATTCCATGACGGAATACAAAATAATTTATCTCAGATGGAATACATGAAAAATAAAATTTACCTAACCTGAATATTTTATTTTGATAAGCTAAACTTTCCATACCTAATAATTGTGCAAAATTGCATTTATGCAATATGTTAATTATGCAACGAAAATTATGCAGAAACCGGTGGTTTGTTATTGCCTTTACCTGCAAATTATATTTATGTACTGTATTAAAATTGTAATTTATAAAATACGTTTTAGCATAATTTATACAAAGACTAAATAAAAGTGTTTAACAAGTAAACAACGAATTTGTGGCATGTAATTTGGTAAACATACATGCATATGTATGATTACTCTCAACATAAAGTAAAAAAAGTCCAATCTAATCTCATTTTAGCTTGCACAAATCGCTTCACAGAGTTAACCAGCTAATTGCTTCATATATCACTCGGCAGATAAAACTCGTATCTCTAACAACTATGCAAAATTTTTCTCCGAAGCCAGGTTGGTTTTCCCATTCGTATAATAGACATCGCCATTTCTTGTCGTATGTAGCATCCATGGTAAGTAACATAAATAATCGAAATATTAGTACACAATACAAAACCAAGCAAACATTGCCATGTCCCCGATGAAGTAAATATATTACATTATGTACACTACATGTCTGTAATCCTACCAAGGCCCCCAGACGAAAATCAAAAATCTGTGTCAAGCTTATCGACCCGGAATCTGATTTTAAAAAAAGTAAAGAATTCTTCGCAAATCAAACATGGAAAGATGTGTTAAAGGGGTGTGAATTGGTAAGTGGAAATTATTAATCATTTTCTGATGCATGATTATTTCCCTGCTATGTATCACTGAAGCTTTATCCGCTCGAACATCCGGAAAATTACCGCATCCAAAAATACAGGAAAAGTAAGACAGCGAAAGACCAAGTACCCACTCTTGCAGATAAAGTTCAGAAAATTCGTTCCCAATATCAGAACCCCTGCGAGAATCGCATTGTAGTTCACCTTGTAAATATATTAGACAAAACTGGTCAATTGACCCCAACCGACGACCGGAAGGAAGAAAAGGTACTGAAAAAGGGACAAAAATCGCTTCTGGCGTCAAAACCCGTCAAACCACTGGTGACTGAAGTAACCCAAAGTGCTGTTGCCTTACCAACGCCTAAGCGAGATTTTAGAAATCATACATGTGTTTCAAAATACCCGGTAAGGGGAAAACTAACTTATGAAACTAACTTATATTATTATGTCGACCTCATAATCAGGTCGACATAAATTTAAATTCCTTAATTTCCTGCAGGATACTGAAGACGAGGACGAGAGCGACGAGGATACCGACCCGATGGCCAAACGTACTAAGGATAGCGTAATAGACAGGGCGAAAAAAATGTCGGACAGCGATGTGAGTTAATTACAATTTGTGATACTTATTTTATTTTAATGCTAACCTATTTATCGCAATTCGTACGAGCAAAAGATCAGTGTTATCGTAACGATGCGGCTTGGAATATCTGGAAAGAAAGATTTAGCAAAAAGCATCCCACTTTGAAAGTTATGCTTGACGATATGCTTAAATAATGAAAAATTTGTTTTCTTACATAATCACAAATGTCAATATTTTATGCAAAATTGTTATGGATTTCCATTAGATTGTCTTTACATACTATGTAACAAATTTCATTACATCTTAATAAAAATGTAAGGATTATTCGCTACACAGACGTATCGTAATTATGTACCTGAAAAAATATGCTTAGGCGCCATAGAGGTTTGCGATAAGTAAAAATTGTTGACAAAATCCATTATCTATCTGAACTGGAAACCTGTGTACGTGCTCGATTAATATTTTTGCTCCGTGTTAACCTATTCCACTGCGTTATCAACAATTTAGTCACCATGCAAATAATGCAAAGATAGTGGAAATAATACATAGACCTACCCCATGTATCCAAATACTTGGCACTTCTCGTTAATACATGCATATTTTTAGTCAAACGGATCGTGCCCATCCCGTTATCTGTAAGATATCGAGTTGAAAGATCAATTATATATAATCATATATATAATTATATAAAGATCTTTTAACCGGTAAATATATTTACTGGTGCTAGTACAGATAATTCCTTTAATCCACTTAATATACATCCAGTTGGTAGTGATCTAGTGTTGCAAAAACGTAGTCAATTGTATGAAATTAAATAGGTTACTCCTGATTTGTAATCCATGGTCTTTGGTCGTTGTTGAATTTTTACAGTGTTGTTGTCATACTAATAATTGCCGTATGACTTCTACCATAATTTTGAACAGTGGTTATCATCTTCCTCTTGAAATATAGTGCATAAAAAAATTATCTAGTTGTCCATTTCTATAAGGCTTATCAACGTTATCAACGTCAAGGTTTAAAAATGGTAAAATTAATTTAAAAGAATTATTTAATGCGATTTGTTGCACATATGTTTTTATACTTTATTCCAGCCGGTTTCTCCACAATATGCTGCTCATAAGCGTGCTCAACTCTGGATGACGGCAATTTCTCGAAATACGACAGATATCATTCCTGAAACTTCGACGGTAGCAATTCCTCAAATCCCGACAGCAGCAATTCCTCAAACCTCAACGGCAGCAATTCCTCAAATCCTGACGGCATTAATAACTCCTGAAACTTTGTCGGCAGCAATTCCGCAAACCCCGACGGCAGAAATTCTTCAAACCACGGCGACATCAATTCCTCAAACTTCGACGGCAGAAATTCCCCAAACCCCGGTGGCAGCAATTCCTCAAACCTCGGCGACATCAATTCCTCAAACTTCGACGGCAGCAATTTCTCAAACTTCGACGGCAGTAATTCCGCAAACTTCGACGGCAGAAATTCTGCAAACTTCGACGGCAGCAATTCCTCAAACCCTGGTGGCAGCAATTCGTCAAACTTCGGCGGCAGTAGTTCAGCAAACTTCGACGTCAGAAATCCCTCAAACTTCGACGGCTGTAATTCCGCAAACTTCCACGGTAAAAATTCCAGCATATTTATTAAATTATTGTCTACGTACACCATCGCAAATTCCTCTGTTCTAAAAAATAAAGACAGAGATGTTACATTAATTAATGTACGATATGCTTAGGTATACAAACAATTCTAAAAGTAGTGTTAAACATTCTTTATGGTTTTCTTGGAAATCTGATGCTTGTCTTGATAGCTTTGAATTTTCTATCGACACTTCAAAACTATATAATTTAGCGGTAAAACCGCAGGAAAACCTATTTTTTCATTTCCTGTTCCATGTCTAATTTCATTTCATTCAGTTTCACAGTATCAAAATTGAGAGGAAATGCGAGAAACAAGATTTTTTTCAAATATCGGTACTACCCAAATTGGGTACTACCGATATTTGATGGTGGGGAAAAATAGGCGCAAATATTGACTCCGGAAACTACATTCTTAATTTTGTATTTTAACTAATTGCAATTGTGATGCTTCATGCAAAACTTTTCACTGGTTAAACATTTTTATTATGGCCTAACCTATTCTAATCTAACTTGACCTATATTCCTCAATCTCGACAAGTATGAATTATATGGTGCGATCCCGCCTCTAGTTGAATTTAAAGATTGTAGGACATTTGACATATCACTTAGACATTGAAAATTAAGGCCTGCACATTGAGTAACCGATCGACCATGACAATGGATATTGGGATGTTGATGAATTTCAGAGGTTAGGGGGGTTGATGAGATGGACCAAATGAGCCAATACATTTGCCAAAATTTGCGCCTATTTTTCCCCACCATCAAATATCGGTAGTACCCAATTTGGGTAGTACCGATATTTGAAAAAAAATCTTGTTTCTCGCATTTCCTCTCAATTTTGATACTGTGAAACTGAATGAAATGAAATTAGACATGGAACAGGAAATGAAAAAATAGGTTTTCCTGCGGTTTTACCGCTAAATTATTTACCAATTTTTATCTACCTCATTGTTCACTTCGCTCAAGCTATTTATTTCAGATTAGCTAAATACATTTTGGCAATTGTTGTTTTGATTATATATTTAAAGTAAACAATATTAAAGAAGTTTATCCCTAAGCCTTCTCATTTCCGCTACCAGCTTTTGATTTAGTTCTTGGCACAACTTGGTATCGTCTTGCTGTAAAATAGCTACACCATCGAGTGTTCGGACACGACTAAGGGCAACATAAGCTTGTCCGTGAGCAAAGAGCTCCGGTCCAAGATATATTACGGCAGTGTCCACTGTTATCCCCTGTACCTTATGAACCGTGACTGCCCAGCAAAGCACTATCGGTAGCATTCGACGCCGTATTTCTTCACCCCCGCGTCCGTTGTTGTACACGACGTCTTCAGGTCGGAGATCGAAGATACCATCTGAATTTCCGCAGATCCTTGGGTCGTCAAACTTTACTTGTACGGTGGCGGGTAGGTCACCAGAACGGTGTTGTTCTCTTGCAAGCATATTCCAGGTGAACCCAACAACGGTCCCCATTGACCCATTGACCAGGTATCGCGTTGTCGTGGAATTTCGGATCACCATAATTCTAGATCCAGCAGCTAGTTGGATGGAAGCAGGAAATCCTCCGCATTTATTGCTGTCTCTAGAACTACGGGATAGAGGTGCTTGGCATCCAACATTTGGTCCAGAGTTGAAGGTGTCCCTTGCCCGAATGGTGTAGACATTTATACTTTTGTCATCGCGAAGTTGTCTAGTCCGCAGGCGATTGTAGCTTGCTACTTGGGCACGGGTTGCATAGATACGGATGGAATTCTTAAACTTCTCTTGCATGTCTTTCATCTTTGGCTCCAGAGGGTTGGCATCCTTTAACTCCCTGGTTCTTAAGATCTCAAGGTCTTCGCTTGTGAGATTTGCTTCACGTAGATGGTTACATATTCGAAGGAGGGGATCATTCACTTGACGCATGTTTACCGTTAATTCCCGAAACTCAAAAGCATGCCAAATGTTGGCTTCTCCTAGATAGAAACGCGGCGTTTCGTAGATGCAGTGTCCATTCACTGGTTCCAACTGGAAGAGATCCCCAACGCAGATAACGTTCTTTCCTCCAAACGGCATCTCAGAATCAAAACAATCGCACAGGCGATGATCAATCTGCCGGAATACCTAATTAAAAATAGTAATTCTTACTATTCATGGTACCGCTGGACCATCATTAATACGAAATATAATTAATGATACATTTGCCTCACCTCGTAGGAAATCATCGAAACTTCATCAAGGATGATCCACTCAACGTTCCTAAATTTTTCGCGCATACGCTGTAGCATTTGAGCTCCTAGTTTGGCGTAGTGTGGGACAGACCCTGCCTCTACGGCCAGATGAAATGTACGATGGAGGGTCTGACCGTTTATATTCAGAGCTGCAACTCCTGTTGGAGCAGCAAGCACTACGCCGTCCAGTCCAGGACCGCCTTCCTTTATCCGAATGAGGTTAGTCAGTAAAGAGATCAAAAACGACTTTCCAGTTCCCCCAGCACCAGTAATGAACAACTTAAGTTGGACTCGTCCTTGATCATCCAAACACTGCTGAATGAGATCGTAGATCTCCTTTTGATCAGGGTTCATTTTGGCCAATTCAGTTTCGAAGCTTTCTTCGTCCATGAAAGGGATTTGATATTCGTCCCCTGGTGCCATCAAAACGTTGCTTGCATTATCAACATCGGGGAAGTAAAGGAAATGGTCGTCCTCAGCAAGGTCATTTTGAAGTTGGGCATCTCGATCATGTGAAATTTTGTCTATAGCAGCCTCCAATGCTGTCGCCATCTCCGGACGGATGAGGTGAAAATCTTCATTTGTCCTCATATCGCTCTTCCGTCGTTCGTAAGTCTCCTGCACAGATTCGCCTGGAATTAGCAGCTCTACCTCCTCATTTCTGAATGGAATGTATAGGAGAATGTGCGCGTAGATAAAATTGGCTGCATCAGTGTCGCTATGGAAAGATGGGCTTTTGACTATGGAAAAGGTTTCTCTCTTTTTCCACATACCCATGCTTCTGTCTCTTAGGTAGAAAGCCCGAGAACCTCTTTGTCTTCGCAGAATTTCCTCCTCAAACCCTTCAACCAAATCCTCATCTGGTTGCACATAACTTCGACATGGTTGATATTTCGAAGCAAATTCAAAGAGGCAGATATTGCCAAGATCATCCGGGCGTTCACAATATTTGTCAATTATGTTACTAGAGTTAAAACAAAATTTAATTTTATGATTAGCATTAAAAGGCAAATATTTATGATTACAATATTGTCATTTACCTAGCAAATTTTACTTCGTCACCATTCAGAAATGCATCCTTTCGAAGCATTCTTATCCGATCCCAAGGACGGAAGGTGGGAACGAAGACGAAGCTACGCGACGAAAACCGCATTGGGATATTACACATTCTGGCAGCACACTCTTGAGACGATAAAGTCCGCCGATTCAAAAGAATTCGGGAAACTTTCTCCATTTGATATCGAATCGGATGATTACCTTCCCTCAAGGTTTGAATTGTGCGGCGAATATCTTCGCGGAAGGTTTCCGGTTCATTCTTACCAATATATTTAGCGATATACAGGGCTACTGCTGCAACCCCAAGAACGGGCTGTATATCCATATTACAACGGAGGAGCCAAAGGAGTTTCGGATGATAATTGTTAATCCACATCTCATCTTCATTTCTCCGTAAGATGATGCCTCGTCCTCGGGTCCTGCTGTCTTCGTCCAATGTTAAACTTGTCTCAGCCATTACAGGTCGAGGAAAGCCGAAGCGGCATGTGCTACCTTTCTTGAAGCATGTAGGTGTATTTTTGTGCGTTTGGTAACGTCTAACCAGGTCCCCAATTTCTGTTTCACCATGGAGACTGCATGAAACATTGGCGTCAATGAATTCGATACCTTCTGTGGTAGCAAAATCTGGTGGATTTTCTACCCAGATGAGGGAGTGTAGATGGGGACTCCCGCGGTCTTGAAATTCAACACGGAAGGTATAGTCGACCACCGGCTTTCCAAATATTGTTGGATCATTGGTCAGTAACTTTATCAGTTCCTGGGTCCTAAGGTTGAAATGACGTGCGGCTGCCACGGGATTGGAGTTTAATAGCTCCCGACGTTCGTCATACGGCAAATTCTGAATATTGGCTGGAACAGGTTCGTCACGCGATGCCCTCCACATTGCAGTGAGAATATCAGCGGAACCAATATCATCAGTAGACACTGTAAGGAAGAACGTAGGTGGACCAAGTCTTGTCACCATTGCCATGATATCTCCTGTGTATTTCTTCCAGTACGACTTGGAACCACGGATGGCGCTCATGTACAAATGAATATTTTCTGCCACCGGAGCATTCTCATTTTCCTGGTCTTGAAATTTCATGTTGGCGCAGACGGCAATTTTGGAATCCATGATAGATTGTTCCGACCTTGAAAGTGCATAGAAGAGATAGTCATTACGACGAAATCGACGATCGGCTGACATCACTCTGGTCGCAAAGTATGCGTGAGGCGTTAATTTAGCAGCGTGATCTTGGTCTCTATTTTCGTCCAAACCGTATTGTCCGTGGGGGAAACATTGAATGAAGCATTTCTCCTCCAAATGAATTTCGTAACGCACGTTAATTGGCGGAGCAGCCGTCCTATGAAGATTCACATTTTCTTGCAAGTTGCAAGAGCTAGTGCAAACGAGATCGGTCACATCTTCTTGCAATTGTTCTTCTCTACTCTGCCCAAATCTGTCCAACCGAGGCTCAAGGAAGTCAATATTGTGGATGAGGCAATCTTCTTGTGCCTCGTCGCCAAATGCAGCATGCATGTCATTGGGATTATCTATCTCTTCAGCTTCCGATGGGCTATTTATGTCTTCACGAATTGTAATATTCAGAGGAGTTACGGTAAGAACAGCAGCATTTAGGCTTTGAACACAATTGTTGTTGACTATTTTGCAAAGATGATGGTAGCTTTCTTGACATTGGCGTAGCTTTAAAATTAAAGCCTGCTGAGTTGCTGCATTTGAAATCATGCCTTGTTGAGTCCTAGCGTGACTGTCAAAATAGTAGAGATGTCCATCGCTTTTGCTTAGGCCCATTGTGTATTGACCTACGGGATGGGATTATTTTAAATTTTTGTAATGGAAACATGTTGGCAGTATTTGTGATTATACGAACCACCAGTAATTAACGCGTAGTCTGAGTTGCTCGAGACGAAATCCTCAATGGCACTGGCTAGCCCCCTCTTCGCATAGTCTTCTACTTCTGCCATCCACCTTTCAAACGCAGCGTAGAAGACAATACCTCCGTCCACCAAGGTTATACTAACAGATTTTCCAAAAACATTTGCAATTTGTCCCTCGATCTCATCAGGGTTTAAATAGTCGTATGCAACAATCTGTGCGCGGCCTTCACCATTAGTTGCGTTCCTTTCTGTATGTAAACACGAAATTTACCACTCAATCACAATATCTCAGCACGAATATTCCACATACCTATAATCCTGTTGCGACATTTCTGGTAGTAGTAGTCACCAGCCGTCAACATCCGGTCTCCATCTTGTATTGTCCAAGTACCCGGAGATTTTACTGCAGCATACGCCACAGCGGCAGCAGACATTGCAGTGCATTGTTTTCCTCCAGTTCCTGCTTTTAGAAATCGCTTGGAGGTTTGACAGAAGCTCAGCCGCATTGCCATCATCCACGGTTTTCTTGGAATTGGAACATATCCACCCTCGATGCGTGGCCTTCCCTTCCTATCAGTCACATCTGGTGTTGGATAACTATCACCTTCGTTCTGTGCTACAACGGCATCTTCAAGCCGAATACCGTCCAGGTTGAACTCCTCCATTGTCACGTTTGAGTATCCGGGATTATTTATGAGCAACCACTCTAGAGCTTCACGAAGTACTAAAACCAATACAATTAACATTATGTACTAAGAAAATTGAGTAGTGATTTAAATTGCTCTACCTTGAGGCCTTATATCAAATATGGAGGAATGTGGAAAGTCTCCAACTGATTCCGTGACAATTATTGTGCCGTTTGATGTGTTCGGCCCGAGGCGTAACTGCTCCTGAACTTCCTCCACGCTTTGGGCAAAGTGGATGACCTGCCCTTGAAGAGCAACTTGTCCTCATCCTCGACTCAATTTGTGGATTTTAAGAAAGGCCTTCGCACGACTGACCATCCTTGCCTCCACATCCGTCAAAATACTGATAACGTTGGGTGACTCTGGGACATACATGTTGTTGACCATTGCGGTTGCTGGAACTTTTCCTTTGTTCAGGTTGTCATGGCAACGATGGCAGCAATCTATTTGGTCTCCAGTAGTTGGAACGAGATGTTCCAAGGTATTACTGTCGTACCTATTTGCCACTGACCCCAGGACTCTTCGAATTCCTTCAGTTACTGACAAACCCTGCAAAATTTAAAGTAAAAATAAATTTGGTGCCGATTAACATGATTCCTTTGTTTCATTATATTTTCTTTTACGCTAACCTGATGCCCTTATCGTACCAAAGACGATTGCAAATGAAACATGTCCGGTTTGCAACTTGGTTGATATTCCTGATGAAGAGTTGTTGGTGAGGTGACAGGGCCAGTTCAACCTCAGTGGGGTCTATTTCCATCTTTTCGACATCAATACTTTCTTCTTGTATGGTTTTTGTGTCCTTCTGAATTTTGCACTTGTTTGCTATATCGTGCTTGTACTTTCGTAACTTTCTTTGTCTAGATGGCATCGTTTGTGTTTATTGTGAACTTGACGTGTAATTAATCGCTTTTATTATGTTGAATTTAATTAAATACTTCGATAAATATAAAAACAATTATATTCTTCGCAATGACATGTGAAGCAACAGTCGTGCAGGTAAACACACCACTTTCCTTATACCGCGAATTCATGGGGTAAAGGGAGACTCACAACACATTCAAACGAAGACACCCATGATGAGAAAATATTATAATATCATTAATACTACATACATATGCATATATGTTAATAAATATTATAGAAAATATTATACATCAAAAATTGATAAAGGTTAACTTTGGAATTGAATATAATATGTAAGTATGAAATCTAATTGAAGTTCATTGGATACTAAAACTATTTGGGCTACAATATTATGGCCAGAATTTGCAAAACCCGAACAAAACTGAATGTAAACGTTTGGAACACGTGAGTTTGGCATTTTTTGCCCCATTGAGGGTGTGGGGGGATGGGGGCACCAATGGGGCCATGGAGTCAAACAAAGATTTTTGTACACTCATGGTGTACTACCATATATCCATAGTACATCGAAATGTGAGATGGACAATTAGGGAGGATCTCCTCCTCAATGACTAACCCTCTCACATCTTCACACCGCCATAACTTTTCACCTAAGTGCGATTTCGAAAAAAGTGGTCCTTTAAGGGCACCCCTAGGGACCCTCAGGAACACAATGAACATCTTTCCAGTTCAAAATATTAATCCCCCCAGTCTGTACCCCTGTCAGACTGAAGCCACCCAAAATTCAACATTTTGAATTTTCGCGCGTATAGGAGGCCCTATTTTAAAAAATGTTTCAAACATTTGTTGTAGCCCTAGGCCCTGTAGACAATATCCCGCAATCAGATTTTCATTCTCATTCACCCAGCCCATTTGAAAAAATATTTAGTGTCCCTAGTGCCCATTTACACTTGAAGGTGAAAAGATAAAAAAGTAATCAAAATTTCCAAAAACGGTTCGCGTACCCTATGCCTACATTTTTGAGCTTGTTCGAATGCCACTAACCGCATCCATCTAGCTTAAAAAGTCGGCCTATACGACCAAACAAAATTAACATTGCCCTTAAGTGATTGCATACTATATGTTTCACATATACTTCCATGAGTCATGCAAGTAAATGGGAAAAAATAGAAAAACTCACTAAAATCTGTACATTTGGCCAGTTCACAAATATACTTATAATAATATAATTAATTCCATGGTTGGAAGAATCTATTGGGTATGACAAGTACCAGCTAGTTTCGCAGGATATTGGAAATTAATCTAATTTTGACCAGAAATTTAATTTTAATCAAGCATTCTCCGTTATGCTTAAGGGAGGGACCCACCTTAACAAGGAACCAGGCAGTGGACAACTTTGTCTAACTATAGGCAACGTCAATTATCAACAACTTTCAATAACTGGGGGTCCTGCCGCTCCAAAAAGGACACGGAGTGAAAGTAGAGATTCCACAGACACCGTGGAAACTCCGAAATTGGTAAATTTTGTCGAAACTGTTTAATTTAATTTAATTTAATTTATTGGTACAATGAGGCACCCCACTAAGTGGGTCGTTACACCTCAAGGTTAGAATAGAATACAAGTAATACAATGCACATTTTACAGGTATATTAATATTTATATTAATATTTCTACGAAATTAATGAAATTTGTACGGTAACACAAATTAATGACGAGTCTTGAAAAATTACTAGATACATATTTTAAGCTTTGAAAATGTTTTTAAAACCTATTTATTAAATTTTTAGTAATCCAAGCTTGCATACATAGCTTATATTTCAACCTGTCCATAAACCTTCCGTTTCACGAGTTGGTGGTAGAAAGCTCTATCCACTTCTTGTATTTTAAGAATTGATAAGTAATTGATATTGAAAAATTTTAGTCAATTCTTTATGAGACCTAAATTGCCCGCGACATTTAGTATCTTAGTTGGAAATGAGATATAAGTGCTGCGAGATCTCACAATATTCAGACCAATCCATACCAGGTAAATTGAGTAGAATTTAGCACGACATAACTGGTCTTCTTCAAATTTCTTCAACATTGGCAAATGAGTTACTCAAAATTAAATATTAGTCTTAGCAATTCCTTAAATCGTTGAGTAAATTATATTCAGCCGTTATATTTATTAAATTAGAAGCGCCCACGTCAAGATGACAACACCAGTGATCAAGATTTCAAGGAGGTTGTTCTAAATCGATTGCGAGACACTAAGGCGAAACACGTATGACAACCCTCTTACTGAATATTTCAATTATCCATTCTGCTTTACATGATTATCCACAATTGCTCATATTACAGCTCCTATCAGCTCAAAAAGAATGGGATGAATGCAAAATTTCAAAAAGGCTCGAACTTATTAAACCAGAATGTACTCGCAAGGTATACCATCTAATCTCAAGTATCTTCGTCAACCCAGATACATAAATTTCCGCTGGGGGGAATAACTAATGGAGTAGAATCATAGAAACAAAAATTAGAATTCAACTAAACTGTAAAACAAGTAATAAAAATATAATTTAAAAAAACAAACTTCGGTGAGGCAGTGAGATCAAAAACTGTAAAACAAGGCACACTTTGAGACATATTTTCAACAACCTGCTATATCTGAATCTCTAAATATGATTAGATATTGAAAAATCATTAAGTAATACAATCCGTCTTTATCACTAACATCTACTTATTTATTGTAAAAAATTTCCATCAGTAAAATATATTTGTGTAACTTTTAATATCTGGGAGTTTATGCGATACAATCAACGTCGGTGTATCCCAACATTTCACTAATTAAGCAAGCCACTACGTAATTTTCGCATTATCCTTGTTACAAACTGGACAGATCTAATTGAATAATTTTCCAGCCAATCTTCCCATAATTGCAGTGGTCGCCTATATTTTGTAGACGCAAGAAACCGACTGAATGTACAATTGTTTCGTGAGAACGTATGTGCCAGACATACATGGTAAACTGTAAACACACTATTGAACGTACATTAGTGATATATCATTGGATATGATCTCCGGCATACATGAAGAATATAGTAAAAAAATAATTACATACTTATATAATTCCACGTAACGCAAATTCGTTAAGCAATAAAATCCGTCTTAGATATTTACGCAGATTACAAGACAACTGCCAATAAATTCCTAACTATACATGCTTCATTTCCATGACAAATTACTTATAAGTATTAATATAAGTATTTCTGCCATTACATAATTACACAAGAACATGCTTTATTTACATGGCAAGTTCCATTATAAAGATATAGTATGTGTATTTCTGGCATTAATTTGTATTTAATGTCTGGGAATTTATAAAGAGTCTCGGCTCAGCATGTCCCTACTTAAACAAACCAGGTAAAAAACCAGGTAAATTGCGCAATAAGCTGTGCAATAAAAAATTTTTTTACCAGCGCTACATATGCTAAATGAGGTAGCAGTTCATATTAATTGTGTTCCACAGTTTTTATGACCAGTTTCATAAAGCTAGGTACGCTTTAGGCTTTCTGCATGATTCGGTATTCAATTTATATTCTAAATAATCACAAAGAATAAAGCGGTATACAGTATGGAGAAAGAATATCTTGATCAATTACGAATTGGATGTCAGTTGATATGTGCTGGACGAAACGAAAAAGGTCTAGAAATAAATCATTTTATACTGATTATTATTTTTTAAACTGGTTTAACAGTTTCAATATGGCAGTTGTAACTTTCGCTACTGTGTAAAGATAGGATACGAAGAACAAAGCAATAAACGCAAGTAAAATTAAAGCAAGTAATGGAATTATATAAAGCGTATCTCTGTTTATTTTTAACACAGTTTTCACCCAGAAATTTTAAAAACCATAATACATTGACAAGACACTATAATTAGCTAATATTTCAAAATTTGACTACAGGATGACGACCTACGCGTCATACAAACCCTTCTACGATTCCATCTGGAAAAGGATGGAAAATCCTTCGGACACAGTTAGAGGTGTCCGTGTCCCCAAAAAATATTCCCCGGACGCGGACAGCGCTTGGTTAATGGCCTCCATCAGCGAGGAGTTCCATGACGTCTCAAGGGATATCCGTTCAATCAAGTTACAACCAAATGACGACTATTTGATTGGACCGCACCCTTACATACCATATGGCGATGCCCCGATAACCACCGACAATAAAGGGTTGACCGAGGCCAATGCCCTTCTACAAGCGACCTTTGCTCGCAAACAATATTTCAATGGGAACAGAATCGATGTCAACTTCAAGAGGATCATACAGGATTATTTTGACAACAAAACGTGTATCAACGAGGGCAAGGAGGCCTTCTCATTCGTTTCATTCCCCCTCCTACTTCCCAAGGGTTCTGAGGGTCCTGAAATTTTCAACCATTACAAAACCCTCGGAATAATGCGGCTTGCAGATTTCAATTCTCGCGCTGTCCGCGATTATTATTTCTCCTGCCAAATTTTCATGTTTCTCCGTGGCTTCGACATAGTCAATTTGTCCGTCTGTGCGTCTGCCTTATGCCTCACGACCTGCGTAGATTACGTGGGTACAATGGAAGACCCGAAAATGGGGGGTATCGAATCCTACTTGGCGGCTAGCATTGATTCAACGAAAGTTCAGGGGTCTCGCTTTCCCCCTGAGATGGATGAACTCATAATGGTAGCAGCACTCATGCAGCACAAGAATGATTTATTGGCTTCGTGTAAAGCGGGGAAAATGTAGGTTGCGCCAACTACTGGGAAAAATATTACGCCGTATGAATTTCTTGAGTGTAGATGGTGGGAGGCGGCAATGCCGGTCTACTTCAAATTTCCCTTCGTCCTCCAGGGTAAAGGTGTTGTTGTTCCTACGGATGAAATTTGGACACCGCAGGGGACCTCGATATGTCCCTCGATTAGGAAAGCGATCGACATAATTATTCGGAACAACGAACTTATAGACGTTTTTCACGATATCCGGGCAATCGAACCTATGAACGAAATTCATGTAAGAATTTCTGAATTAATTAAAATTTTGATATTTACTAATTCATTCTAAACTATATTCCACAGATTGCTGCGAGATACGGCGGATTGGAGGCTGTGACGAATTACGCGTACGCATGCGCCGCTTGTATCGACGAGGTGGCGACTTGCAGATGCATCGCTGGGGATAAGAGTCACGAATGGGCGTTAGATGTAGCGATTGGATCATGCGCATGGTACACTGTTGTACCTCATTACCGTGCATTCACCCAATTAGCGGAAACAAAACATTTGACTAGTTCAAGATATGCCGCTTTCGCCGCTAAAGGGAATCATGCCGCTTTTATAACTAGCAAAATAGCCCACTCGGGAAAACGGGGGTGTTTGCATAACGACGACTGGTCATCTTTGACGACATTGACATCTTTAACACCTTACATATCAGGAGATTGTAAACATTGCGGCGTTATTAGCGACTGGATCGTTAATCGTTGTCTCTATAGAGACGATATGGCAGGAAAAGAAGACCTTATTCGAAAATTTGTCGTAACGGCGGCACATTTAGAATCGGACAAGAAAATGGACGGATTTTTTGGCGAGATTTTTAAAATCGTTGCGGGGACTGAGTTTCCATCTTGGCTCGTGGAACAATGCATAACTGCAATTGAGGCGACTTGGAAAACGTTACGAGGAGCCTGTGACGACATGACGCCGGATGTTATCGCAGCTCAGGTGGTGGCAAACCATGTGCGGTTGGATAAGGCCTTCATTGCGACGCATAATTACGACCGAGCTTATATTTTACGCCGGGGAATTAGTGGATTGCTCAGCGTCATGATGGACCGGACCAATTTGTCACCATATCAAAGAATATTGGATTCTGCAGTGATGTACTCTATCCAGGCGGACAATAAAATTGGCCCATTTTAGTACAACGAGTAAATCGGATTAATTCAAAATTTGTCATACAACACAAGTTTTATTTTAAATAAAATACAACACTACTAACACATGATTCGAAATTAAATCTTAGTGCACTATAACCACTTAAAATTTGAAAGTTCTAAATTTCTTGAACAGTTTAAAAATTTAAAATTATTTTGAAACATTTATTTTTACAATTCGTATTGCTACATGTAGTAAAGACATATCAAACCGCCTCTTCTTGATTTGTACATCCTATTTAGAAATATCTAGGACATTACAAAATTACAATTATCACAAAACCACATTAATTTCTAACCATGTTAAATAAATTAGATTTTGTAGCTTGGGTGAAACTGTGGCATAAAAAGGTGTCAAGCCTGGTAACACAAGCCTGGTAACACAATTAGTGGTCTACGTGGTCCTAATTTTTGGGATACTTTGCAATTTTTATGAGGTAAGGGATCGATGAGGCGTGCGATTGGTCTGGTTTATTTGTCGGGGCTTGTTAGGTTGTCAAGTTAGTGGATTTTCTAAAATAGGAAAGGCTACAGGACTTTATATAAAGTTAGATATATACTTTCCATTAGTGTCATCTTGAACCAGTGTTTCTTTAAATCCACCTTTTTTGATAAAATCCAGGCCAGTGGATTTAAACGGATTTAATCAATTTTGGGGCATTTTGAGTTGCCCTCACATCGTGATAATCAGGATGGCAAAGATATTTTTAAATGACGATGATATTGCCAAATTATTAGATATGATTTGAATTGCCACTTATTTATAATAAAATCAAATTATTGAGCTAAAAAACAATCTATAATGCAATCCATGGCAGGAATGACCAGAAATAAACACGGAATTGAAGTGTAAGTGTGCAGTTAACATTTGCTAAATTTTTGTACTTTTGTTCGAACTTCTTTTTCAATTCCTGGAAATTTGATTTCATGGTATTTATCATTACAACAGTGTATCAAAATACCCCAAATTTAATTAAATCCATTAAATCCATTAATGCCATTAACTCCACTGACATACGAGTGGATATATCCCATTGAATCCATTAAATCCGGCCATTAAATCCACTTGGATTAATCCACCCGAAACACTGTCTTGAACCCTGATAAAAATACGAGAACCTATATCAGGTGCCTTTCATCCCGTCTTAAGAGCTCGATCAAAGGTCGGAAAGGTATTTAAGTTGGAAACATTTTCATTGCGGAAGCGACATGAAAATATTAGTAGTTACATACTGATACACGTCCCAGGCTTCAATCTAATACGAACGGAGAGTTCGTCGCCATAAACAACAAATCCGCATTCATACATAGGTTTGTCAACTTTATTTTAAAAAATAAAGTTGCAATTTTTCCCAACATTATGATTTTGCAAGAAAACAAAATAAAAAAATTGTCTGATCGGCCAACTACGTCGGATAATATGCCAGATACCATAATATTTTGCAACCAGTTCCATGTAGGCTGGTCACTTCGCACACTAAATGTATCCAGATATCTACATTTGTGAATCGCTACTTACTTAGGAAGAGAGCTTCCGAACTTGCCAACAACAGATCTTGATGCCCTTCGCATACGTTGAAGCGCTAAGCGAGTGTAGCATAACACTAAAACGGTTTG